AATGCAAATTTAAAGTCAATAACTTGTTGAATGCCCTACTTACCCTTGTTGTTTGGGCCACTCAGATTAAAACTGATGGATTTTGATTATTTAGGCAGCTATCCCCTTACCCTGCATGTAGTAGCTGCAAGATCAAGGTACTATTCACTGGAAACCTTTACATTTGCTTTAAATTATATCAGAGAAGTAATAATTTGTACCTACATACAGGGCATACACAGCACAGGAAAACTGTTGAATTCAATTATGATATAAAACTCATCTACAAGTGGATTTTGATCATAAGTTTGAGTATGCATGAGTTTAAAATATGTTTCAGATCTGCATAAATCCCACATGTTAAATAATTTAGTCTGAAACCTACTTTGAGAAGCAGAAAAAAGTAAAGGATATTACATCTGGGAGGCTCTTTATTTTTTGGCACTTTCAAATTAGATATGCCAAATAATTTGAAAACTGCATAGATACTAGTGTTGAGGACTCTACAAAAGGCTAATTTATAAATGTGCTGCATAAAGGACTCTCCAGTCAGCCACCTCCCTGGGCTGCTCAGTTCCCAGGGTACCGGCTTCCTTGGGTTATTGGGCAACCTAGGAAGTCAGCAGGCTGCCAGGTAGCTGGGGAGCCCAGCAGACCAGCAGGTGGACAGCCAGGGAGCTGGACAGCTTGGGGAGCCTGGCAAGCAGGCTGGCTGGCTAGCAGGAAACCACGCAGGGAGGCAGGCTGGCAACCTGCCTGGTTTCCATTGAAAATGTTGACAGAATTGACATGTTCTCATAGAACATTTCAGTTCCATTGATTCAGCGCTTTCCAAAACAACATTGTTTTTTCAGAACATTTTTGACCAGCTCGATACTTGAGTTGTAGACAGTTGCTTGACTACAGAACCATGTTTAAATATTGCAGCTCTCAGTAAACTGCAGAAAGGAGGCCATCTAGGAGGGTCACATGACATCTACAGTTGGCAAAAGCACTCATTTGTCTACAAAGATTAATGTAATTTTTTTCAACCAAAATGGCATTTTTATAATAGAGATTTAGGTTCAGAGAATAGACTTTGATCAACAACACAGAAAAATGCAAAATAGTTTTATGTATATACACAGTAAAGAAATGCAGGAAATAAACATTCCTTCTTGCATACAAGTCCAAGATGCAGTAACAAAATATACTTACAAGAAAAAATTCTTATGATATTGCTAGAAAACAATGGGACAGTTCTGTTCTCCTTTGCACCAGTATACATCAGGAGTAACTCCACTGAAATCAATAGTGTTAAATAGGTGTAAAATTGATGTGTCTGAAAGAAAAATGAGGTCTTAAGACATACCCAACAAGAGACCTTTCATATAATGCTATGGAGGCACTTGTATTCTTTGTATTTCTTTCCACAGAAAATGTTGATAAAAATGTGAAAAAGGACAGGATTCTGGACCACAAGGGCAGGCAGCTGCTTGCAGCAGGATCTTGTTGCTCTGTTATGCAATGTTTACGTTAAAAAATGTAATTGTTAATACAAGCTGTATGTGCCTTAACTATAAGAACATAAGCACCCTTGCACTCTGACTCTTGTTAGCTTCTGCAACGTCCCCTTGCAAACGTAGGCAGCTGGTGCAAGTTAAGGCAGCCCCAGAGGCTGCTTTCACCTGTGCTAGGAGCCAAAGAAACTACCAGTTGGTAATAAGATAAGTTGGCACAGAGAAGGCAAAAAGCCACCTTGACCCACAGCAACTGAAACTTGGCCACATTACACATCGTGATGTTACTCAGTAGATATTCCATATTTAAGACAGCAGGTTTTTCATTCTGAGCATCCATTTAAATCTAACATCCAATTGGTCACGTTACAGTTGCTGCTGAAAATATAACTTTTTGACTTAGTCTTTAAAAAGACAAGCCCAGAAAGCTCCAGAGATGATAACTTTGTTTCTTTAGGATATAATTTGCATCTTCTTCTTGGGCTTCTTTGTTCCTGTAAAATATGAAATTGCAAGGTATTTAGTCCTTACAAAAGTAAACACTAATTATATAATGACTGAGACAATAATATGAGAAGTACAGCTGGGTACGCTGCATTAACTGTTTTAATAACTATTTTTCACAATATTGTTAATATGCCCTTAGAACACCTCTCCTCCTTTTGTCTTCCTCAGGTTCTAAATTGTTTTGTGTATCTGACAGAGGTAACTGTGCCTCAAGCATACAAATCTCTAATTCAGGGATTCCCAAACTTTTTGGACAACTGTGCCAAATTTGCCAGACTACAGCCATACCATCCAAGTATATACCATCTTCAGGTATGGTCTCATTTCTTAGTGGTGCTTGAGTAGGTATATTTCAAAATGTACTGGATTCTGTTCACAGATAGGACCTCTGATGCTGGGAATCACAGGATGCATACAAAAGGGAGCCTCTGATTGCAGCAATACCCATTGTCCCTCCATCCCCTTTGACTTGCCAGGTACTGAGAAGGCAGAACAGTAAAAAGTGGAGAACAGTTGCTATCATGTAGACTGGAGTCTGGTTAGCAAATGCAGCTAAAGAGAGAGGGTGATGATGCTCCCTGCTACTTGCCAATAGCCCACCCATTTGCAATCCCTTACCTCTCCACATAGGGATCAAGCAGTTCATAGGGAACTAGAACTATCACCTATCTATCACCAACATATCGCCTAAAAGATCATGGAACTCCAAGTGAGTGTATGTAGTAAATGGGAATGATTAGACACAAGTGGGAAATTTTGGAGAGTGAAAGTTCATAACATCCCCCGGAAGTGCTCCATCTCACTAGTTTTCTCTCGTTTAAACGGACGTTGTTAATTTAGAACTCATGCTTTCTTATTTTGTATGACACCTCAGATTTCTATGAAAAACAGAGGAAAATGTTTCTATTTTCCCTCCCTTTGCTTACTTTGCTCTTTGTGTATAGTCACTTTATTTATTTCCCCTGTAAAATCAGTTGAAGCCACATTTTCAGGAGTGTTCACTAGTTTTTTGTTCACATTTTTTGGCAACCTAACTTGAGACACTTGGGACCTGATTTTCAGAGGTTCAGAGTACATGCAATTCCTAGAGCCCTGTGTTTTCTGCAAATGCAGATTAACACTAAACAAAATGAAAAACTACCAGAAAACAAAAAACTTACCCCACAGCAGCAGCTCCTGTCCCATGGGGCTGAGCCTGGCTCCCCACTCCAGATGTTGTGATTTGGCACATGGGCTAGGAGTGTCACTCAGGTTGGCCCATGCATTCCTCACTCAAATTTTGCCTGCCTCTCTCTCCATCCCCTGGTCACAACAGAAGTGTGGCTAGGCCAAACGTGAGTAGCACTGTGGCCCTGTGCCCCAGGTTGCAAAGCCCGGAGTGTGGAGCCAGGCCGAGCCCCGTAAGGATGGAGCCACCATTGCAGGATGAGTGCTAGGCAGGCTTCCATCTTTGGGGCAGACTCAACCATGATAAAATGAATCGCTGCCCCAAAACCTGCAAAAATTATAAAATAAAAATTTCATGGGGCCCTACCAATTTCTATTGGTTGCACTAAGGCTCAGCACCTCTGAACATCAGGCCCATTGAGTGATTCAGATAAGAATGCCCGGGGGGGGGGGGGTCAGACCAACCGTCCATCTAGCCCAGTGGTTTTCATACTGCAGGTTGCGACCCAATATTGGGTCATGGAATGTAAGGCACTAGGTGGTGGAGGCTCTGGTCAGCACTGCTGACCGGGCCGTTAAAGGTCCCGTTGGCAGTGCTGCCCAGCTAAGGAAGGCTAGTCCCTACCTTTTCTGACACTGCGCTGCGCCCCGGAAGCAGCCAGCAGCAGGTCCAGCTCCTAGACAGGGGGACCATGAGGCTCCACGTGCTGCCCCCGCCCTGAGCACTGGCTCCGTACTCCCATTGGCCAGGAACTGACCAATGGGAGCTGGGGGGAGGGGGCAGTGCCTGCAGGTGAGAGCCAGGTGGAGCCATTTGTGCACCTGAGCCTAGGAGTTAGACCTGCTGCTGGCCGCTTCCAGGGCACAGCGCGGTCTTTGGTGCTAGGACAGGCAGGAAGCCTGCCTTAGGACCTTGGCTGTGCCACCGACTAGGAGCTGCCAGAGGTAAGCCCTTGCCCCAATCCTTAGCCCCCCCAAACCTCCTTCTTGCACCCCAAATCCCTCATCCTGCACCCCACCCCAGAGCCCCCTCCTACATCCTGAATCCCTCACCCCAAACCTCTGCCCGAGCCCCTCCTACACCCCAAACGCCTCATCCCCAGCTTCCTTGGGTTGCGGAGATAAAAATTTTTCTTCAACTGGGTCGCCAGAAAAAAAGTTTGAAAACCACTGATCTAGCGCAGCCTCCTGTCTTCCAACAGCAGTCAGTGTCAGCTGCTTCACAGGCAGTGAACAGACCATGGCAATTTATCCAGAGACCCCTTGTGCCTCTGTTCAGAACTTCTGTCAACCCTCGCCCAGTCCCCTGAAACACAGACACCCACAGTGCAAGTGCTGGCCTGAGTGTGCTGGGTGGGCCGGTCTCGCACGCAGCAGCAGGGCTATACCGCCCCAAGGCTTGGCAGGGGAAGCGGGCCGTGTTAGTCCCTCTGGGGCGAGGGAAAGAGACAGGGGCCCAAGCTCCCTGGCAGGTTGGCGCACGCACAGCTGCCGGGGCACAGCGCCCTGCCCGGCATCCAGGGTATGCATGGGCTGGGCGCCGAGCGCCGGGCTCAGGGGTGCACAGTCGCTCCGCTTCCCCTCGAACCGTCCCGGCCCTGGTTCACTGGGCCGGGTCCCGCGGCGGGCGCTCCGGGTAGGGGCAGAGCAGCAGCAGCAAAGCCCCCCGGGCAGCTCTGCAAGACGCCCCCCACAGCAGCGGTCGCGGCTCCTGCGCATTCTTCCCCCTCGCGAACGCGCCTGAGCCCAGCTGCAGCGGCTGGAAAGTGCGAGCCGACCCGCCGCGCGCTCCCCTGGCGCCTCCCAGGCTGGAACGTGAATCCGGGGCTCGGGAGGGGACGCGCGCGCCGCGCTCGTGCGCGAGGAGCCTGAGCGCCCGGGCTCGTCACCCCCTGGCTGGCCTTGCGCCGCCGCTCGCGAGCCGCGCTGTGCATGCACTGCGGGGCGGGCTCGTGCGGACTGAGGGTCCCGAGCACCGCGGGTTGTGCTGCCTTCTCCTCCTCCTGAGCAGAGCCGCATGATGGCGGCAGCTGCGGCCGTGGTGGTGGAGGTGAGCGTGAGCAGCACCGGGAGTAGCAGCAGCGACACGTCCAGCACAGGCGAGGAGGAGAGGATGAGGCGCCTCTTCCAGACCTGCGATGGCGATGGGGATGGCTACATCAGCAGGTAACAGCCGCAAGGACAGGAAAGGGTTTGTGCAGCTGGGCACGGGGATTCCCCTCTTCGCCCCCCCCTCCCAAATGACATCGCAAGTTCTCAGCAAGTTTCTCGGCGAGAGTTTGCAGTAGTTTGCAATCAGCAGCATTGTGCATGGGGGCTGTCTTTCCCTGTGCAACAGGGGCAGGCTGGACTGGACCATTCTTTCTCAGCTCAGTTTGCGGGACCTTCTTGAGGGTTTAGTAGTTTGTTAGTCTTTCGTTTGCGTGGTTTTGGGCATCATGTTTAGTGATTACAAGAATCCTTGGCTTAAGTGATGCTTCTCTCCTGCAATAACTGCCTGAGATGGTGGCAAGAAGAGATCGAGCCCTTTTAGCATAGAAGTAGATCAGAGCCTCTTTAGTTTCTGCGGGGGCAAGAGTCTACTCTGAGCTGCAGGTGCTCTGCACTTCCGAGGAGTTGGGATGTGAGAGAAATAGTCCTGCTACTATGGGCAGCAGCCAGGAAGGTGAATTCACATAAACTCCTAGAAGTTAGAGATGTACATCAATCTGCCAGTGCAGGGTTGTTCCTAAGTAACAGGGTACATGATGATGCTCCACTAGTATTCAAACTTCACAGCACAACATTTGGATAAATCATTTGCCTCAGATCTACAGCATGAGAATATCAGCTATGAAGGAATAGCAGGCATTCTCTTCTGAAATGTGTTTGATTTGGTATTCTGTTCCAATTTTCTGTGTTGGGATAGTGAAATTGGTTCACAGTGTCTTGCTTCCTATGTGAATAACCATCCTTTCCATTAGTGTAGCAGGGATTAGCTGAAAGTTTAGTACATCAGTGCTAACAAATGAATATTTAGGAATCAAGGTGGGTTTTGTACACACAGCATATAGTTGCTAATTGCCTGGGGCCAACATTTTTTATTAATATTTTAACAGGTTTGATTTTTATTAATATTTCTATTAACACAGACAAGGTAATTTCCACGTGACCCACGAAGATTAAACCACATCAGTCAGATGTCTTCTTTACTCTAAGGAGTCTAGTGGCACCTTAAAGACTAACAGATTTATTTAGGTGTTCACCGGACTCCTTGTTGTTTTTGTGGATACAGACTAACACAGCTACCCCTCTGATTCTTTACTCTAACATGTTAAACAAGTGGTGTACAGTAAACTTACAAATTGTTGTAACTTAAAAATTCCTTTGCTGTTTCAGTGCATATAGTTTTGGCTGTGTTTTTCTTGAGACCCTGTTCTTGCAACTGTGTGTGCATGGGTGGACTCTTGTACCCACACAAAATCAATTTAAGGATCAGATAAAGCCCATCATCACTGCCATGAAGATCTTAACTGTGTTGTGTACAGCACTGAGCATGTTGGAAATACATATCACACTTCTAAATGTTCCTACATCGGTAGTTAGCAGCAGTCTGTTTTAAGCAGGAGAGGACTAGTGGCAGGGTGTTTTCTGTAAGGGGCCTTTAAATTTTTTTTAATAAGCTTTCAGAATCAAGATAGGATTTTCAAAGGTGGTGGGGACCTACAGCTCCAAATGAATTCAGTAGGAGCTGAAGGTGCTCTGCACTTCCAAGGAGTTGGGATGTGAGAGAAAGTTATTAATCTAGGCTAGGAGCTTCTCTGAAACCTAAGAAATTGAGGCTGAACAGAGGCCAAGTGCACTATAATTCTCAACAGAGTTTGAGATCAGACAATTGTTGAGAATCTCAAATACTGTCCATCAGTAAATAATGGGACTTTGTATCTGTAGGTTAGTTTAAAAAGAGTCATCTTACCTTAGTCATTTTACCAATTTATTATCTAATAGACATCCTGAGTATTTTTTCAACCAAGAGGCTGTTTTATCAGTGGTTATTCTGAAATGAAAATACTGAAAATGTACACTTTTATATATACTAGTGTGTCAAGTCCAGTAAAGTTGACATTTTCCTTTTAGTTTGTATGCCATATTAATAGACGTTATTTTGCTTGTCAGAAAATTTGAAACACTTGTTTATGATATATGTTCCCTGATTATAATATGCTATCTCATCTATACCCTTACTACTTTTTTTTCCTGGCTATGTAAACTGAAGTGGGATTTAATCTAATACTGTAGTTAGTGTACATAAAACTTGCTAATGGAATGTTAATATATTGCTTTATGTGGACAATTAGGGGACACTAATGAACCACCAAACCAGACTGCTGTATTTTAAATTAACTTTGCTCCTATTCATCACAAAAGCTGGGAAACAGTTTTAATTAAAGAGAAACAAAAATTACATCATGAAGCAATTGAAAGTAACATGAAAGAGAGAACTATAAAAAAGATAAAACTTTTAACGCTGAAATCTTTCCAGAAAAATAGAATCACACTGAAGACAGCGACAGCTAAATGGAAATGTTGAAAAGGAGACCAAATTGGTGTTCTTCACAGAACCTCTCTCCCCCTCTGAAGAGCTAGAAAATAGCTCTCTAAGTTTAGGATCATCAGCCTTTCCAGATGATAAATGAAAAGGATGATAGCTTAATTTATAATAGACAGACTTCAAAAATGTTAAATGAAAGTGCATTTCTACGCCATTCATGAGAGAATCAGTGAAACTGTATGTTACAGTCATAACTTGTTCTAAACCTCACCCAAGAGCTATGAGGGTTGAGTGTCTAAAATTCCAAGAAACTGGAGTGGGAGGGGCACTGGAATACATCAGGAAACAAATATAGCACAAAAGAGAGTAGCTGAAAGCCAGAGAGGAGGTAACAGGACCATTATTGGTGGTTGATAACCTACTTTGGGATGGGGAATGTACTTTCAAGTCAGCAGTGGTATGGCCTGGATCCAAAAGCAATAACATAGATATATATCTTCTTTTAAACTTCATATTTTTTTTAGGTAGATGATCAAGGTATCTTTGGCAAGGTATCTTTGGCATCATCTGGAGTCATCTGATTTTCTTGACCCCTATCAATTAGGTTTCAGTCCTGGGCACATGGCACAGATACTACATTGATTTCCTTGGACACTGATCTTGGAAATGGAATGCATCTCTCTCTTGGCATTGCATACTGTCTAATTTTTTCCACTAATCTACTTTATGGCAAATTGTGTATGCAGGAGTGGGTTTGCCTAGTGGTTCAAAGGCATTTTCAGTGTGGGTTGTCTCAGACATTTCCTTCGCACTCACAATAACACAACATCCATGTGGCACTCTGTAGCAATTGTTTACATGGAAAAATAATATTAGGAAAGTGTTTGGTATTTTATCTCCTCTTGATGTAATAAGTGATTTGTCCTTTTTGTGATGTTAATTGCACTGTCTGCTTTTGCTCTTAATCTTCTCCTCCTATCTATACTTTCCCTTTTTCTGCTGCTTCTTTCTTATCCATATAGTTCAGCCATGGTCCTCTTTCCCTCTGCCCTCCTGGACATGTTGCCTGGCTTCCCATTTTCTCTTGCCCTACTTCCCTGGACTTTTCTTTGCTTCCTTTGCCCACTGGTGACTCTGGTTCCTGAGGGTAATTCCTGTTTTCTTGCCTTTTCTTCTGTAGCTCTAGTGGAGGCAGGTCCCTCCTTGTTCATTGCTCCTTTTACAGGCCTGCAGTTCAGCTTTGTAATAAAGATTGTGGACATCTGTTAGAAGCAGCTAGAAACAAAGAAGCAAAGCCAGCACCCTGTTTCCCCCAGCCAGCTCTCTATGGGCCACTGGTGGTCACAAAGTGCAGTTTCAGAACTGTTAGACTTTTCCTCTTTCGAGCATCCATTTTTGAGAAATTTTAATGTATTTTAAATGTAACAAAGATATCCCCTCCCATTTTTCAGCTGTTGTTCAGTATAATTTATATCAATTGAAAATACGCACACAATAGCCATTCTACTGGCATCCCTGAAGTTTATTTAGTCTTTTGCTTGCTTGCTAAATGCCTCCAGAAGAGCATTTGCTAGGTTGCTGCTTGGTTTTAGAACTCCTCTGAAACTTCAGAGACCTTGTGGGAGAGAAAATCTGTGTTCTTGCAGTACAGGCAGGCAGTTTTCCATTGTATGCATCTTTATTTAGTGCATCACATGGGGAGATGAGCTATTTGCATTTCTAGTGAAGTTATATGGAGTCTCAGCTGTGGAAACTGTATCTTGTCCATTAAACCGAAAAATCTCTCTAAATATTAGCAGGGAAGTAGAGGCGCATATGGAGATAAAGGGCACCTCCTGAGAGAACAGTTAATTTTCAGTCTCTGAATAGTTAAGATGACATTTTAAAATGATTGATAAAGGCATAATTGCTAACTATGTGCCATTGATTATTGATGACTGAGACTAGGAAGAAATCAAAAAATGAGGTGAAGAATTTTAGGCGCTCACCTATATAAGTTGCGTTCTTTAGCAACTTAGACCCATTTTACTTCAGTACAGCAATGTTTACAAACTAAAAAAAGTATAAACAAAACGCTGCAATTTTAACTTGGCCATCATGTTCTTTTGACTCCTGTTGTGTTCACTTTTTCAATGGAGGACAAGTACTTAGGATGCTTTTGGGAGCTCAGCAATAAAAATGTTACTTTGTGAATATTGTTTATGCAGGACATTTTTAGGACCCAGTCCTGCCTTTGTTAAAGTCAGTGGGAGCTTTTGTGATTTGCCTCATTGGGAGCTAGATTCAGGCCTTAAGGGTTGTTCATATAAAGACTCTCTTTTTACTTATTTCAGTCCTGTTAACTGAATTATATTTATTAATAAGGACCTGTTAGTTGAATAATACACAGCTGTAACAGTTTTAGTTTTGCTTTTGTTTTTGAGAGGCTTTAAAAACGTTACAGGTGTGAAACTGTAGTGAATTAAACATCTCTTCTGCATCACAGAGTCAGCTCGTTGGTGAGAACACCTGTAGTCTATTGTTTCTTTTATAAGGTCAACATATGTGGCACTTGTGACTGTCAATGAGGAAAGTGAGAATGCTGTTCAGTTTTCACAGGTGGTGGAGTAATTGATGTTTCCTTTTGAAACTTGAT